GGCGGGTGTGGCGGTTTGTGATGGGGAGGTTACGAGGAGGGTGGGGTGGTGCAGAGTGAGACCCTGGCTCCCAGCTGCTCCACCCTGGTGCTGCACCTTGCCTTGGGAGATGGCCAGGCTGTGCAGGGTTCCAGCATGCTCTTACCCCACAGGAAGGCCATCGAGGGGCTGGTGGCTCTCAGCGAGGACGGCTGCTCCCCCATTTCCATCCAGCAAATGGCGTACGGTGAGTGCTGTGCAGAGTGGGGCACCCCATCTGTGTGTTCAGGGGCAAGCCCAGGCATGGTGCTGCGGGGAAGGGGAGGGTTCTCACACCAAAGCTGGTTAGGAGGTGCCTGGGGTGTCCTTGGGTGGTTCAGGGCCTGACGGTGTCCTTGTCCCGGCAGTGGCTGGGGGGGGGGTTGGGGTCATGAGTGGCGCTTTCTCCATGATCAATCTTCTGGCAGACGCGTTAGGGCCTGGCACTGTGGGCATCCATGGGGACTCGCAGCTCTACTTCCTGACCTCAGGTGAGCGACCGGCATCCTTCACCCGTGTCTCTGCCCCACCACAGAGGCAGCAGACCCGGGGAAATGGGGCACAGACTCCTGCTCTATGCTGCACCTCTCAGTTGGTCCCCATACACATCTGAGCCCCCTATGGTCCCTCACCACATCTCTCTGTGCCAAACCCTTTGCTCCGTCCCCTGTGATCCTCTCTGCTTCTCTTCCCCATCCCTCCCACACTCAGGGTCTGCCTCAGTGCCTCCCAGTCCAGCCCAGCAGTGCCCCTGCTCCCCTTTCCCAGCTCCTCTCCATCCTGAGCCTGCAGGCTGGGCCAGGATGGGTGGCTCCCTGATGACACCCCTCTGCCTCTCCCTGCAGCTTTTATGACCATGGTGCTGATTTTCCTTCACACCTTCTGGGGGATCCTCTTCTTCCACGGCTGTGAGCACCGGCGCTGGTGGGAGATCACAGCAGTCGTTGTCATGCACCTTGCCGTTTCGGGGTCGGTGAGTAGCTGGGAGCAGAGCTCTGTGCTGAGACCTCTATTCAGGGATGGCCATGGTCCGTGCTGGTTGCCATGCTGGGGGGGAAAACAAGCCTTTGGCACTAGTGAGGTAATTGGGTTTGGGGGACTTGCAGCTGGCCCTTCACAAACCAGATCTTCAGGCTGGTGTCCCCTGTCCCATTCCACTCGTTGAGGCAGTGATGCTGCCACCCGTTTATCCCTGTCCTGTCCCGCCTGCTCACCCCTCCGCTTTCCTGCCTCTCTCCACAGACATTTTTCAACCCCCTGTACGTGGGCAGCCTGGTGCCCTCCTACCTGCTGATGGCCATTGCCGCCGCCTGGGCTTACCTACTCTCTGGGGGATCTGTGCAGAACCTGCGACGCTTCCTGCTCTGTGAGTCCTGCTCCATAAAGGGGATGGGGGACCCTGCGGGTACCAGGATTGGTGCTGGGAAGGGGAGAGGGTGTCACTGGGGCTGGAACAAGGGCGTCATCCCCTTGGCTGCCAGACTGGAGGAGAAGCTGGGTTTGGGGGCCATGGTGAGGTTGTTGCTTCTCCTGGGGGAAGTGGATGGAATAAGGAGTCTGGTGAAAACTGACCCCTTCTCCTCTTGTTCCTGCAGGTCTACGGAGTGGAGCCAGCCCCCAGCTGGGATCCTGAGGCCCTGCGGGATGTTTCTGTCGCCGGCCACCCCTGCCCTCCCCTCCATCCTGGCAGCAAGAGCAGCTGTCACCTTCTCTGCAATATCTTTTCTCCTGGACTGGTGGACACTGGCCAGTCTCAGTGGGGCAGGCACTGGGGTCTGGCTGCAGCAGCCAGCTGACCAGTGTGGCTGGGGGCGGGCTCTGCCTGCGCCCCCTAACAGCTCAGTTTTGGGGGACTTGGCTTTGCTGGTCCTGCTGCAAGCAGAGCCCCAGTTAGCTTGCCTGGGAAGGATGCTACCTTGGACTGCTGGAGGCCTGAGCCCAAAGAAACCCATCACTTCTCCTGCCACAGATGTGCTGTCTCCTGGCAGGGGGAAACCCATGCCTCCTCTTCACTGCAGGGTAGAGGAAGTAGCTTTGCAAAGTGCTGCCCAGCTCTGGGCCAAGGCTGACCGCTATGGTGCCACTTTCTCTGCCTCTTTGCCCAGCCTTGCTGCCCTGGGAGCCATGGTCCCCCCACTCTGGACTGCGGTAACTGCAGTGAGCTGGCATCCCAGCATGTGAAGGGATGGGCAGGGAAGGGATGGTGTGTTGGGATCAGCCACCAGTACTGGGGGACCTAAGGGGGCTGACAGCATCCAGGGCAGGAGGAGGACAGGAGAAGACAGTGCCATATGGAGGGTGGCAGAGGGCTTGGGAGGAGATGCAACCCCGCAACTGGTGCCAGCACAGCTTGGGGAGGGGGGTTCGGGGGGCCATGCCCTCTCTTGCCCTCGGAGGGGGATTTTCAGGCAAGCACCAGCCCTGATGCTGTGCCATAGGACTGGGAGGGAGAAACTGCCATCAGGCTCAGAGAAGTCCACAGTGGGCTTTTATACCAATAAAAAGAAGTACCATAGGTGAGTGGGGTGTGTGTGTGCCACTGCTGGTAGCAGTGGCTCGTGCTGGTGTGACCACAGGGGGTGTCAGTTGCAGACCTTAGTTGCCTGAAGGTCTTGCTCCTGCTCTGTCCATCCCTGGTTTTACCACTTTGAGGTGGAGGCTGCTGAGAGCTAGAGACCTGCAGCTTCCTCCTTTCTCTCAGGACCAGCCCATTTCTTTGCTTCAGTGGAGCCATGGAGCTCACCCCAGGGCTTGGCTCCGGCCATGCTGGAGCTGCCAGGAAAGGGAGGAGGCAGCCAGACCACTCCAGCTACATCAGAGCTGGAGGGGAGCTGGGTGGGGGCCAGCAAGCAAGGAAGCTGTGGCTCTGCCAATGTTCAGCTCTGCCTTTCTCCAGCCCTACCAAGCCACAACTATGTTTTTCCAACACTTTGCACAAATAAGAGGAGGAAGTCCCAGAGAGACAGAGGGCAGGGCCAGGCTGTGCAAGAAGCCCTGTGCTGCTTGCTCTAGAGCTCTGCCTGGGGCACAGAGGTTGATGATGTCTCTGCTGGTCAGGAAGGGGTCCCTGTGCACCCCTCTGCTGTGGGTCCAGCTCCACCAGTGCCTGTCCCTGCCCTGCAGCTTCAGACTAGGACAGCAGAGACAGCTGACACCATGGGAGACTTTTACTTTTTTTTTTTAAATACATTTTAGCTTTTTTTTTTTAATAACAAAAATATCTGCTGGGGCCAGATGCTGCCCCAGGCAAACAGTCCACGTGGGCAGTCTGTGTAGCCAAGGGATGCTGGAGCACTGTCCCTCCCTCGGCCCCAGGGCAGGAGTGAGGGGAGGTGGGGTGGAGCAGGCTGAGCCAGCAGGGGCAGGAGCGCTGCAGAGGCGTGGGGCTCACATGGTGATGGTGTTGGTGGCTGCTGTGTAGATGACCTTGGATTTGGTCGGTGAGTGAAGCCTTGTGGGGGAGGAAGGGGTATATGTGTGTTGTTAGAGCAGGCAGGGGTGCCCTGCTAACCTATGTTGCTGCCTGAGAGACCACCCTTAACCCCCCTTCCTGCCCCAGACTTACCCCTACCATCCCCTGGGGCCCCTTCTTCTGCAGCTCCCCATTGCTCACCATGCATTCTGACTGTGGTGCTTGTAGCTGTACAGCAGGAAGGCCAGTGCCGTGATGGCAAAGAGCAGCCCAAAGAGCATGGCCAGCACATCCCCTGCAAGTGAACCAAGCACAGTCATGTTACACTGGGGACAGTCCCCTGTGGCTACTGGATGAGGGAGATGGAGCAAGGCTGGAGAAGGCTGGTGGCCCAAAGGTAGAGGGGACATGAAGGCAGGAGGCTCAACTGAGGCCACCTTCCC